GTGGGGGGGTGGAGAGAGACGGCTCCCTGCACTCTCACAGCTTGGCCCCAGAAGGTTGCAGTTTCATGGTGACATCTCCTTTCTCAGAGAGCTGACACCTGGGTTCTAACGCTTCGAGGCTGAGTTGCCTGGACTTCTGAGCCCAAATCGAGAGAAAAGGTGGAGGAGAGGTGGTGGAAGGAAAGTGGGCTTGGAGGGAGAATATCTCGTGTTGGGTTTTCCCAATTCTCTAGACCAGCGGTTCTCAACCTGTGGGTCGAGACCCCTTTGGGGGTCGAACGACCCTTTCACAGGGGTCGCCTAAGACCATCCTGCATATCAGATATTTACATGACGATTCATAACAGTAGCAACATTACAGTTATGAAGTAGCAACGAAAATAATCTTATGGTTGGGGTCACCACAACATGAGGAACTGTATTAAAGGGTCGCGGCATTAGGAAGGTTGAGAACCACTGCTCTAGACAGAGGCAGAAATGGGACCCAGTACTTCTTCCCATCTGCGGGTAAATGAAGAGGCAGTGGGAGTCGGCACACTTCCTTGGGAAATGTAGTCAGGTCATCACACAGCCGGAAAAGAAAGCCAGAAACCCCAGTTCATGGGAAATCCGCCTTCCCTCCAGTAGAGGTGGCAAACTTGCTGAGGTCATCCATCACCTAGGACACTACATACATGTGTTTGTTCATGTGTGTGTGGAGAGGAATGAGTGGGTTTATTCACCTGTGATGTTCCAAGCTCTGTCAGGCACCTAACGTAAGTTCTTAAGTCAGTGACCCTGGCGGTAGGGAGTAAGAAGAAGGCTCCAAGGAGGTAAGAGACTTGTCGAAAGCATGGATGGCAAAGACCTTTAGAAGTCCTAGGTCCTGCCCAGCTGGTGTGGCTCAGTGATTGAGGACTGACCTATGAACCAGGTCACGGTTTGATTCCTGATCAGGGCACATGCCCAGTAAGTGGGCTCGATCTCCAATAGGGGGTCATGCTGGAGGCAGCCGATCAATGATTCTCTCTCATCATTGATGTTTCTATCTCTCTCCCTCTCCCTTCCTCTCAGAAATATATATGAAATCCTACGCCCTGAAGAGATTATAAGGCCCACAATCTCCCTCATCCATATAAAATGAAGGTTTAATTATTGCAATGACATAAAATACATGAATACTGAAATTTAAACAAAAATTTTTAAAATATTTTTTTAATTGATTCCAGAGATCCCCTCCTGGGAATCGACCCCACAAACTGGGCATGTGCCCTGACCAGGAATCGAACCGTGACCCTTCAGTCGCTCTATCCACTGAGCAAAACCAGCTAGGGCTAAACAAAATCTTTTTATTGTAACATTTTGGAAATGACTTTCAGAAAATGCTGGTGCCCCTGCTTTGCTGGTGCCCTAAATGCATGCCACCCAGCCGGCTGGGTAATGCCCAGGCCAGTCATACCACCCAGGCAATGTGGGAGCTGCCTTGCATCAGAACCCATGTAAAGAGTGAACTACCCAGCCGGTGTTGCTCAGTGGTTGAGCATCAACCTATGAACCAGGAGGTCATGGTTTGATTCCTGGTCAGGGCACAAGCCCAGGTTTCTGCCTCGATCCCCAGTAGGGGGCGTGCAGGAGGCAGCCAATCAATGATGTTTGTATCTCTCCCTCTTCCTCTCTGAAATCAATAGTATGTCCATATAATGAGAGAGATAGAGAAAGAGAGAGAGAGACCTCCTATATACTGGGTCTGGGAAGCCACTTACCGGAGGAGAACTCCTGGGCAAAGGCCAGGGACATCAGCAACAAGGGGAAGCCCACGGCTACGAATTTGACTATGCGATCCAGGGGGAGTTCCAGGCGCAGTCCCTTGAGGCGGGGGCCCCTGCGGTCGGGCAGCAGGGCGTCTGATAGCATGTACTCTGCAGCTGCGTGTGCAAGTGACATGATGCTGCTGAGCTTTGGGGTGCAGAGGCAGCAGGAGGGGTCCCAGGATGGTAGAGTGAGGAGATGGCAGCTTCGGGCAGCTGGCTTTGAGCAGACAGAGCCTGCAACCCCAGCCTCTGGGACATCTGTGCCAGGAGCAGGCGCTGGTTCTCTAAATAACTGGCCGGCCCCTGAGCCAGACACCTGGTAATTAGAGGGAGGCCTAGCGCAGTGGGTCCTCAGTCCTCGCTAGAGGAGGGTCGGGTGTCAGCGGGGGCTGCTGGTGTCAGGCTGCTCTCTGGCTTGCCCTGGAGCCCATGGAGGTCTGTGGCTTTATGCTGCCCTCTTATTAATAAAGTATTTTTAGTGGGGTGGTGGAGAGAAGGCGGGGTGTGAGGCCAGGCCTCCCATGTAATTGGTGTGGAATTTGGGTGGAGAGGGCTTAATTGTGTTGAAGGTGCTCATTTTGTGGTTTGGGGTGGAGATAGGGACCCCACGACTCGGCCGGGATTACAACTACTACTACATAGTATTCTGTGTCCCAGTGATGAGATGTGCTTTGATCTCAGGCTCTTTCTCAGAAAGGACTCTGCATTTGGTGTTAAATTTCCTTCCACATATTTACAATTTTATTTTATTTTATTTTATTTTATTTTTAGCCTTCATCAGTTCTTTAGAAAACCGAGGGACAGGTGGCAGTGTTGAATACTAGAAATTTGGAGAGAAAGGCTTCCACGGGAGACCGAGCAGTGCTCATTTTTATTGTGTGACGTTGGCCAGGAGTCTCAGCTATCAAAGGGCATGATGTTGTCATCTTACAAGACAGAGAGGCTTGACTGAGAGTATTATATGTGAAGGCATTTTGTAAAGTGTAGGGTAAATAGCAACTCTTATTTCCATTTGGTGGGGTTGGGTGAGTGAGGCATCTGCCCTGAGAGGCCCCGACTTTGGCCTTCACATGGGTCCCCTTCGGCTGTGGCCTTCTCACAAGGCAAAGAGTCCGTGGGGCCAAGGGGATGCACCCACTCAGAGTCTCCTCTAGACCACTCTTCTGGCACCTGGGACGCTGTAATTCCGTGCCCAGATGGCCCCAGCCTGTTCCCAGGGCCCGTGCAGGCCTTTTCCTTGGGTGTATCCTCTCGTGGACAGATCGTGCTGCTGGTGTGCACCCCTAGGACCAAGGAAAGGCGCCTTGAGGGAGTTGGATGGAATGTAGAAGCCCGGGATGCCCGTACATGCAATTATGAGGCTTCTTACAATGTGGGGGCTTAGCCGTGTTGGGAAGAAGGGATCTGGGGGGATTCTAAATTTAAATCTGACATTCAGATCATTATGAATTGGTGTGTGTGTGTGTCTGTGTCTAAATATGTCAAGGTAGGCAGATAGAATGTATTTTATTTAACAGTTTGCTAGCTTTATTTATAACATTTAATTTTTTAGATATATGATATGTGGGCCTCTATTTGAACTGTTTTTCCTGGGCCCACAAATGTTTGGGTTGGGCCTGTCTCTCTCCCCATCCCCAGGCTAGAGGCCAGCTCTGATTCAGAGCTGCTCAGTGTGTGCTAACCGGAGTGGCCCCGGCATGGGAGCAAGAAAAGGGATCCTTTATTTCATTTCCCTTTAGCCTCTCCACACTCTCATTTCTGAATCTTTTCATTCTGTGTGTTTTTGCCAAATGTGTGTTGTTGGGTTTTTATCCATGTATTTTCTTTTGATTTTTAAAAATAGTTGACTTTAAAAAAATATTTTTATTCATATTTAGAGGGAGAGGTTGGGGGAGGGAGAGAGAGAGAAACATCAATGTGAGAGCGGAACACAGATTACTACCTCCTGCACACTCCCCACCGGGGATGGAGCCCACAACCCAGGTATGTTCCCTGACCAGGAATCAAACTGGCAACGCTCAGGTGCACAGAACTATGCCCACCCAACTGAGCCACATCAGCCAGGGCGAAAAAAAATAGTTTACATCTTTACTGAAGTATAAAAAACATACGTTCATAAGCACATATCTTAAGTGTACAGCTCAGTCAGCTCTCATCTGATCAGGGAACTGAATGCTACTAGCACCCAGAAGCCACCTGTGTGCTCTTTTGTAATAACTGCCATTTCCCAAAGGGTAATCATTATCATGACTTCTAATAGCATCGTTTAGTTTTGCCTTATACTTTACAAAAATGGAATTATATGTGTGTGCTCTTTTGCGTTGGGCTTCTTTTGCTCTGCATCATATTTATGAGAACCATCCATTTGCAACTGTTTTGTATTTAATATAAATGGAATTACATGTATGCATTTTTTTGTGTCTGGATTCTCTGCTGAACATTTTTTAAAAATATATTTTTTATTTATTTCAGAGAGGAAGGGAGAGGGAGAGAGAGATAGAAACAGCAATGATGAGAGAGAATCATTGATCAGTTGCCTCCTGCATGCCCCACCCTGGGGATCCAGCCCATAACCTGGGCATGTGCTCTGACCGGGATTCAAATGGTGACCTCCTGGTTCATAGGTTGACGCTCAACCACTGAGCCATGTCAGCCAGGCTGCTCAACATATTTTTGAGATTCATCCATGTTGTTGTGCATATCAAATTTTGATTCCTTGTATTGTGTAGAAATACAATTTGCTTATCTTCATCAATTGATGGACAATTGGGTTTCTAGTTTCTGGCTACTGTGAACATTCTAATTTGTATCTTATGGGGAAGATATATATGCATTTCTTTTGGTTATATACCAGTGAGAATTGGTATATTGGGATTACTTTGCATATGTTCATCTTTATTAGTTTTCAAAGAGGTTGTATTAATTTACATTTCATCAGCAGTTTGTGAGAGTCTTAATTGCTCCACATCTTTACTATTTTGTTTTTGTAATTAACAAACAATTTAGCCATTTTGCAAGGTGTGTAGTAGCATTGGGTTGAGGTTTTAACTTGCATTTCTCTAATGATGAATGCAGTTGGCCACCTTGACCTTCCCAATGTCTTCTATTATGAAGTATATGTTCAGGTCTTTTTCCTGCTTTTCTGCTAGGTTGTCTATCTTTTTATTATAGATTTGCAGGAATTCTTTTTATATTTTGCATATGAGACCACTATCAGATATGTTTTATTTATATTTTTCTCACTCCATTATTTGACTTTTCATTCTCTTAATGGAGTCTTTTAATGGCCAGAAATTCATCATTTTCAGGTAGTCAATGTATCTAGTATTTTCTCTTAAGGAAAGTGCTTTATGTATCCTATTTAAGAAACTTTTGTTTATTCCAATGTCCTAAAATTTTTTCTGTTCTCTAAATGATTTTAGCTGTTCTCTAAATTATTTTTGTTTTATCTTTATCATGTTCTTCAGTCATTTGGAATTAGTTTTTTAACATATGGTATGAGATGGGTATTAGAGACTAGAAATAGCGGTTAGATGGGATTAGAGAGATTAGACCCGTGGTCGGAAAACCGTGGCTCTTTGGCCCCTTCAGTGTGGCTCTTCCACAAAATACCACATACGGGCGCGCACGTACAGTGGGATTGAAACTTCCTGGCCCATGCGCAGAAGTCGGTATTTTGTGGAAGAGCCACACTGAAGGGGGCAAAGAGCCGCATGTGGCTCACAAGCCGCGGTTTGCTGAGCCGCAGTTTGCTGACCACTGCTCTAGGTTATTTGAGAAACATAGAAGTGTTAAATGACCTCTTGATTAGAGCAAAGCTAAAATCATCCACACCCTCATATTCCCTATTACTATGTATGGATGTGAGCATAGAACAGTGAAGAAGGCTGGTAGGGAAATTATTGATTCATGTGAAATATGATGTTAGAGGAGAACTGTATGGATACCCTGGACTGCCAGAAAGATGAACAAGTGGATCCTAGAGCAAATTAAGCCTGAAACATCATTGGAGGCAAAAATGATAAAACCAAAACTGTCCTACTTCAAGCACATCATAAGAAAGCAGGGTTCTTTGGGAAAGACAATAATGCTGGGAAAAATAGAAGGCACTGGGGACAGAGGAAGACCAAATGTGAGAGGGACTGACTCCATAAAGGACAGAAACATCAATGATGAGAGAGAATTATTGACCAGCTGCCTCCTGCGCACCCCCCTACTGGGGATGGAGCCCACAACCTGGGCATGTGCCCCTGAGCAGAATTGAACCTGGGGCCCTTCAATCTGCAGGCCAATGCTCTATCCACTGAGCCAAACCGGCTAGGGCAACATTTTGCATTTCTATATGAATTTCATAATGAGCTTATCAGTTTTATTGAGACTGCTAAATCTATAGCTTAATTTGAGGAAAATCAATATCCTCCCAGTATTGAGGTTTCAAATTTATGAACAAAATATATCTCTCTATTTAGGTCTTCTTTAATTTCTATTCCTAGTGATTTTTAGTTTTCAGTGTGAATGTCTTACACATCTTTTGTTATGATTTATTCTTAGGTATTTGATCTTTCTTGTTAATATTATTAAGAGTACTTTTTAAAACAATTTATTTTCTACTTGTTGCTAATATAAGGAACTACAACTGATTTTTGCATATTGATCTTTTATCCAGCAAACCTTTTAAATTCATTTATTGATTCTAATAGTTTGTAGATTCTTTCGGATTTTCTGTCTACCCAACCATGTCCTCTGTGAAAAATGATCATTTCTTTTCTAACCTTTATGCCTTTAATTTCTTTTTGAAAATTTATTTTTCTTGCCTTATTGCACTGGTTAGGACCTTCAGTACAATACTGAATATAAGTAGTGATAGTAGGTATCCTTATCTTATTTCTTCTCTCTCTCTCTGTCTTTGGATATTCTTTTTTTACATTAACTCCTATATTCCTACTTTACTAAGTGTGATTAATTTGATGTTCAACTTTTAAAAATACTTTTCTGTATAATTTGAGATGTTCATATGATTTTTTTTCTCCTTATAGTTGTTAGTTGTTATTGTGATGAAATGTACTGATTGGCTTTTGAATGTTATACTCTTCTTGCTTTCCTGGAATATACTTTATTTGATTCTGATATATT